AACATTCCTATCATATTCACTAATTCACTTCGATATCGATTAGCATTAATAGAACCAATACATAAATCATTTTCACCATGAGTTAACTTGAATAGGAAGACATAAAATATGGATAATCCAAGTTGAAACAGTGTGAGGTGATGCGATGATGCATAGTTTAGAAATGACGTGCATAATTCATTATCGAAAGTGATTTCAGCTATGGATGCTAAACCTGATCGTTGTTGATTAGTTGATGAACGTTGTCGATCAAATGGTAATGATATTGAACATTCGATATTATATCCTTCAAGTTGAGAATGCCAGAATTCACGGGATAATGACATATCGATGATATGCTCATACACAGAATAATCTATATAATTCAATGAGTTATCATCCGCAGATAAAGAATCATCAGACTGATAAGCAAAAGAAATATCATGAAGGAAAATCGATCTTGATGCTCCATCAAACAGTGCATGATGAATATTAAGTAATATGTGATCATTTTCACTCAACAGATCATCATTCTCATATGAGATAACATCTGGAGGTTGATGATAATGGCGAAGAATATGACAACGAATAACACGTCCTCTTGATAAATCAAATAAATCAGCTTGATTTAATATTTTTTTGACCATTTCATTCATATGACGGTTGTCATCATCATAAATATTAACGATTGTCAACCCATTGAATTTCATTTTATCATTAAGAACAATCTCTGCATCTAAACAGTGTTGTATAATATTACTATTTATATCATCAATATAAAGTGCTGTTCGAAGAATTTGATGTTTTTTTATGATAGATTGAAATGCACGTTGTAATCGTGAAATAGATATATGATCATTTATAGATGATATACGGTACATTAATGAAATAACGTACATGTTATCAGTATTGTCTGTTGCTGAAAATCGAATTTGTTCGTCTAAGAAAATACGTTCCTGAGCATAAGATACTGGAGCTGTAAGCAAAAAAAGTATTATTTTTAAAAAGAAACTGAAAATTTCTTTTACCTTCAGTCAGATATAAGGAAAGCCATTGACAATCATGAATGTTCTTTTTATTTCTGCCGATTTGATGAATAATTTTAGCATGATCGACAATTGTTGGATGTTGAAATAGATCAGTAATAGAAAGAGAATTAGTTTCTAAATGAAATTCTACTTTATATTGATGAAATAGTTTCATAATAATAAGTGAATGACCACCGATACTGAAGATATCTGTATCGATTGAAATTTGTTTTTGTTTCAGTATATCACACCAAATGCAATGAAGAATAACTTCGATTTCATTGCTTGGTATTATTAAATCAATATTGTTTGTAAGCTGTATTGATGAAAAGTGAGGTGAAGGAAGAAGTTTTCGATCTATTTTACCATTTGGATTCAATGGTAGTTTATCAAGAATAATAAAGAAAGATGGAATCATATGTGGTGGAAGATGAGATTCACAATGTTGACGTAGTTCTTCTACATTGATATGAGAAGAAGATTGAACATAAGCAACTAAATAATCATCTTTCCATTTCATAACAACACAAGCAGAGGTGGATGAGATGTTAAGTAAACATCGTTCGATTTCACCAAGTTCAATTCGTTGCCCATGTAATTTAATTTGAAAATCCTTTCGACCTACACAATAAAGAAGTCCATTATAACCCATTCGAATAAGATCACCTGTTCGATAGAATATTTCACCATCGACTTCAATCAGTCCTCTATTTGTCAAATCATCACGACCAAGATAACCAGCGAAAACACCTACACCTCCTATAAATAATTCACCTTCTTGATTAATGATGGCAAATTGTAAGAAATTATCAAAGAGCAAATATCGATAATTAGGCAATGGACGTCCTATTGGGATACTGTCTGCATTGAATTTAATGTTTACCGGATAAAAAGTGCAAGCAACAGTAGTTTCTGTTAAACCATACCAGTTCCAAAAATTAAAATGCTGGGTAGGATCTGTGAGGATTAAGTTGACTAACTTCATAGAGCATGACTCACCTAAAAAGTAAGAGAACATTATAAAAGATTATATAGTTCATATGATGGTTACTTACCGATAGTACAAAGTGATCTAATGTATTTTATGAAATGTAAATAATGATTCTGTTTAAGAAAAGTGAAAAAGTTGCCAAGTAAACTTGGTACAGAGTGCATATAAGTAACTTGTTTGTTTTTCATGATCTCAGCAAGATAGTTCAGTTCAACAGTTCCTCTTGGACGAAGCATGATTATTGCAGCTCCAGTTATTAATGAACCAATAATTTCTTGAATATGATTGTCAAACGAACATCTTGCCATTTGAATCACTGTATCATTGTTAGTAAATGAATCAATGGACATCAAAGAATAGATATTTTGAATGAAATTTCTATGTCGAACTCGAACCTATAAACAAGCAGATCATCATATACTGTAATACAAACAATAAAAGGGTAATCCTTTTCTCATATGTCTCATTCATTTCCCTTCCTATGTGTTAGTTTTACAACAAATTCAATGCTTACCCCTTTTGGCATTCCTGTCGAACCACTTGTAAATATAATATAGGCTATGCTATCGATAGTAACATCAACAGATGATAATTGATCAATATTAATATGTTGAAATAGACTATTATTGACCAACATAGAATCAATGTCTAATATAGTGATAATATCATTGAATTTATTTTTTGTCAGATAATGGGAAAGAACAAGATGACTTTGAGTTTGTTGCAAAAGCATATGCAAACGGTTCTCTGGATCCTGAAATGACAATGGAAAATATACACTACCAGCCATCTCAATTGCCATCATACCAATGATCTAATAAATGTCAATATTTTGATCAAGGAAATTATTTATTTAAACAGTTCACTTACCATAGATACACTTCGTTCGACACATTGTGAGATAATTTCACTCGGAACGATACCGTATTGATCTAGTAGATGGACGGCTAATATCTGTACATAAGCAAAAAGTTCACAATATGTCAATGATTGTTCATCTAGTTCAACAGCTAGTTTTTGTGGATGTTTCATTACTTGATATACAAA